AAGCTTTGTTACTGTTTTTTTTTTCACAATCCCGATTCGGGATGTATATTGCTGTCTACCGATTTCGGCTTGCAGGCAGCTCTCACCACAGTATTACATTATTATTATTATTATTATTATATCCTTTAGTTCCTAGAGGAACATAGGGCTTCAGCTGCGCACCTCCATTGACTTCGGTTTTCTGACAACTTTTTCAACCTGCTCCAGGTCTGTCCACATGCTTTCATCTCCTCCTCGCATGACCTCCTCCAAGTCACCCTTGGACGACCAACTCGCCGCCTCCCTTTCGGGTTCCATTCGAGGGCTTGTCTAGTGATGTCACTTGATGGTTTCCTCAGCGTATGGCCAATCCATCTCCATTTCTTTCTGCCTATTTGTTTCACAATCGGTTCCTGATTGGTTCGCTCATGCCAGAGATCCCTGTTGCTGATCTTTTCTGGCCATCTGATCTTGAGTATTGAGCGGAGACAGTTGTTAATGAAGGTTTGAAGTTTGTTTGAGATGCTCTTTATGACTCGCCAAGTCTCTGATCCGTATAGTAGCACTGACTTCACATTGGAGTTGAAAATCCGGATCTTATTTTTGATGCTGATTGCTGTTGACCTCCACACAGATTTGAGAGTAATGAAAGCTTGTCTTGCTTTTCCGATTCTGGCTTTGATGTCCTCGTCAGTTCCGCCTGTAGTTGAGACGATGCTTCCCAGGTAGGTGAAGGAGGTTGTTTCTTTCAGGTTCTTCCCATTTATGCTGATTGTGGTCTGTTGGTGTTGTTGATGTTGGCTAGGAATCTTCATTATCTCTGTTTTATCTATGTTCACGTGAAGTCCTATCTTTGATGCTTCTTCTGCCAACTTGTTACTTTTCACTTGCATATCTTCCAGTTTATGGGAAATCAGACATATACAAAAAATGAAAAGGCGACCAGATATTTACATTTTGAAGGCATAATCATCAGTATGGCCTCCAAGTTATCTTGAAGATGTATTGGTATTATATGATTGGGAATGAGTGCTGTAAGCTTTTGGGCTCGATAACCAAAGTTATATAATAATATTCAGTACTAGCTAACCAACACCTACATTTATCTAGAACTCAGTAAGAATTAGGCATCACTAGTTAAGTTACTTTTTTTGATATTGCCTGGAAAAAGCAACATACGCCTACACTTGTAGGCTCGAAACCAAACAGGTAACTTCACAAAAATCATTTAAATGTTTATTTTTATTCAGTACATGATAGCGACTGTTATCTTTTCTTTTTAACCTAGGGTTTCATGGTTAAAATATTGAATTTTTTTGTTACCTCACACTAACTCAGTACTGCATTATTATGCCTCACACATTTATCAATAGATGCAATTAATATAGTTAGATGAAAAATGGGGTTTGTGAATGATCGATCGATGATTGCACTTAACGCGATAGTTTCAATCAGTTCAGTTCACAATAGAATAAATGTCAGCTGCAATATGCTGTGCAAAAAAGTATGAATGTTGACCTAGAAAATGCTTGCTAGATTTAACCGCTCAAATAATAGTGATATCAAGAAAAAAAGTAAAAGTTTGAATAAAAGCAAGAACAACTAATGTACCAGGATAATCGGAGCTCATGTCTTTATTTTTATTATTTCGTTCACTATTCTCAACAGTTGGTTACAACCTGAACAATACCAAAATTATAAATTAAATATCTGAACATACTTGTTTTTTTACAATGATAGGGAGTTTACTATTGATTGTAACTAAGAGTGACATTGGTCAGGAAAGTTGTTAGATAATTAAGAGTGAAAAGGATCGATTATTTATAGAAGAATTGGATGACTAAGTTTGGAAACACAAGGACAGAGTTCAACAGATGTTTTGTGGGTAGAAACGAAGTACAACTAGAAAGAGCATCAAAAAAATTAAAAGGTTATATAACCACAGAAAATCACGTCTCTATAAAGTAGACAAAAAAGGTGGGGGGCGGTGGGGTGAGTTATGTTTAGAGGAAAAAATCAAGGTTTCTAAACAAGATAGAAGATGACGTAGTGAAATCTGTATGCTTTGCTATCACCAGGGCATTGCAAGATTCACCACTGTCTCTTTCTACGTAAATAGATTTGGTTTTGGCCGTTCGATAGCAATTACCTTACTAAAACGAAGCAGGTTAGGTTTCGTTTATCTGTTGATTATTTTCAACTCATTCAGGTTGTTCACAACATGATCAGTGTCTAGTAGGTGGCGTGCACTTGCACTGTTTATTGCTTATGGGTGTCCTTTATTCTCAGGTTCTTTGGTATGTCACTGAACCGGCTGTATTCTATCAGTCAAGTTTGCACTGTGGTCACCATTCTAGGATATGTGTCACAACGTTGAACTGTTGTTTATTAGATGGTTGGAAGCAATCAGCAGGAAGCTTGACTGCAGCACTGGGTGACGAGGGTTCGAGTCTCAGAAGGGATACGAGTTCCTTCAAGATTGCAGATACGCCTTGCTGACTGGTGATTGCCAACAAGCACGAAATCTATGTCCAAGGCTTCCTGTGGCCGACTGCCACCAACGATCTGAGAAATCTATACTCTGTTGGAAATTTATGCTTAATCACTAAAAGTAGAGAGCGTTGAGTGTGGTAGGCGAGATATAAATTTCATGTTAATTTGTTTGTTATATTTATCATAATATAGTGCAGTATTATTAACTGGGTAACGTTTCGGACACAATTTATTCTTTATTTCAAAATTATGTTTTAAAAGTCACTTTGATGATTTGGACTGGTTAGGAAGAAGGTATACCTGATTATTTTACTGAGGTATTTCAAAAAACCTAATGATCAAAAGAGCTAACGAACAGCATCATTGGAAATTGAATGTGTTCAGATCACCATTGGAATATATAGTATGAGCTATATAGCAAAGTCCCTACCATTTATGTCAGTCATCTTCCCAATACTGATTCGGAAATGTACACTTCCCAATGCAACTAGTAAAAAATTGATTAACATACGAAGGTCTGAGCGATGCATCAGAAAGCTGATAAGAAATTGATTTAAGCATTTTGGTGTTGCTTGCTCAACAAGAGGAGAGCTACGAATACTTGTCAGGAATGAATTTCAGAAAAGAGATGTCTCAATGATTGTCTTCAAACATTCGAAGGACTGAACGATAGGAATTTAGAGATAAAACAATGCAATGTACATTTCTTATAAAATTCAAAGTTTTAGCAAGCCGATCTCTTTTCAAAAAAGCGTACACAGAAATTGTTGAGAATAGAAGTTTGCGAGTTTGTAGGCAGTTTGGTTGAATGACGCTATTTGCTTGATGGTAGTTAGCAGAGCGATCTTGGATGCAAATTTCGCTCTGTTTGGAGCTCCTCGCCTGAATCAACAAATGTTCTCATTGTGACTCAAACGCAGAACCTATCAGTTAAAACGCCAGGACGTTAACTAACTGGACACAACCTCGACGGGCAATGTTAGCTGATACAGGGTCAGGCTGGAAAAGAGCTAGCGGCGGTTAAAACAAAACATGGCCTCATAATCAGTCAATGAAATCTACAACAGTTAGTTTAAGCTAGCCACGTAGGAAGGTGTAGACTTCCTGATTGGTTGGTGTCCTCGGGACGGTAAAAACCAATGAAGGTTGGAAACATTTGATGATATGGCTCAAAATCATTCTCGGTGATGGCTGGTGCAGATGCATCCACTCCTTGTGACTTATGATTTCCAGTGAAACTATATTGTTCTTCGTTATTACTATTCCTTTGTCTCACACCTCTGTTTACTGTCTCTATTATGCATTTCTCCTACTTTCTTCTGTTGCTCTGTGTGCTACATGAAGGGTGGCGACTCGAACTGCCACACATCAGTGCAAAGTTCTATGTCGAAAACAGACAGACAGACTTGTGCACAACAGCCACGTGTTGTGGGATGGGCATTGAAATAAGCTTTAAATAAAGCCAATTTGATGTTTGAACGGAACTCCTATGAGTCTAATATAGTTGAAGTCATCCGACATAATGCACCTACTTTGCTTAGGCTCATTTATGTCTCGAGACATTAGTTTCATAGCTTATAATAATGTCAGACAAAAAGCATGATTGACGTCTAGGCCTTATTCATCCAACTGACTCTGTAAAGTAGTTGCGCGGAGTTTGAATTTCATGTTATTTATTCAAAGGAAGAATATTTTAGAAATCCACTTGTGTAATAAAAATTCGACTAGAGAAGATATTTCACTATTCCTGTTGAATGCTTTATATTCATTGTCCCACAAGGCAAGTCATTCGACATACAATATAAAGAATGACAAAATTCAACCATACAATAGCCAAAGCTACAGTGACGTTGAACGACCAATCACAATTCAGATGCAAAAAAGTCACATAATCGTTGAAAATACACTAGAAAAATATTGCAAACATGGTATCACACTGTATATTTGTAGCTTAAGTGTTGTTAGAGTGCCTCCCAGTCACTATACAAATGATCCATAGACAAATTGTACCGTGCGAGATATATGCACTTGTCCAAGTATCTGTAGGTCATGGCACTTTGAGATCTATTGATATGTCTGAAACTATTCTTCAACCTGGTAGTCCCAACGCTAACTTTGACCGCAGACCCTAAACTTTAATCTAAAAAAGCCATAACCCCCTTAACAGTGTAGATTTGCAGGAAAAGTACCTAGTAAATGAGTATAATGCTGTATATACCCTCTCCAAGTCCAAAAGGGCAGACATGATTTGATTCGCTATGATATTTCATAACACTCCCTGTATTTAATCGGCTCTTGAAGGTCAATTTTTGAAGACCTCGACTTACGCGGTGGTACTTTAACTTCGCCCAAAGAATGCAACAATTTTATGCAATGCAAATATGTTACTCATAAGTAAACAGGAAATTAGCTCAAAAAATAATAAAGTCAATTGGAAAATTTACAGGCTCCTGTTTAGTAGCGGAAGCCGGGCAGTGAGACCATGCAAACTTAGATAAATAAAGTAAGATAAAACATTGGGAACATACATGCAGTTTCCGGTAATGGGGATATTGTCCTTTCGTCAATTATGCAGCGTTTCTTTGAAATAGGACTTCGATCGGGTGACGTTTGGACATCAGATTTATTAGAAGTCGAAGAAGTGGTTTTATTCTTGCGAATAATTAGTTTAGTAGAATGCGAAGCAGGACCATTGAACAATGCAGTGGAAGGTGATTTGTGTGAACCACGGTCTTCTTTACAATCAACCGGAGGTGAAACTTTCGGATGCAAAATACTTAATGGAAATAAGCCTAATTCCTCAATCGCCTGAGCAATCTTCTTTTCTACCCGATATGATGAACTGACACGAAACTGCTTAGCTATACTTTTAAGTGGTTGGCTAGCAAGTGAAGTGAGTGTATTTGGATCAATTGACAGGTTACGATTAATTGAACCAGATCCAGAGGATGATTGATTCACTTGTGAATGGATATTATTTGACGAATGACCACCATCATTAACACCATTTATATGAAGAGCTTCCGTTGATACACTGCCGTAATCTGAACCACTAGGATCAGTGCATGCTGAACAATTATCTTCAACTTCATTATTTGGGTTGGCTTAATGAAGAGAAAAGAAATTAACAGGTAAAAAGTATAAAGATAATAAGGTATTTTACATACATATACATAAAATTCTAACATCTATATTAGTAGCTGTTGAATGAGATGAGTGGAAGCAGATGAAAATAAAGTGAAATGTAATCAACTAAATATGATAGAGAAGATTTGTAGCTCAGGTGGATGATTTTGATGTGGTTGTGTTCTCTGAGCTGGATAGTTAATTTGTGAAGTTTTCATAGCCCTACTTGGCGACATCTTCAGTGCATACTTCAATCTGTTGAAGTGAGCTTTTAGATTTCTCCACGAGTTTATTAATCATCTCTCCTGGTGACATTGGATGTGATTAGTAGTTTTTGTGTGTTTTCACACCTTCTAGGTTACTAGTGTTGGAACTGATTGTTTCTTTGACTTGAATTTTGACCCTTTGTGTATGAGGTTTCTTTCTTATCGGCTGATAAATTTTGTCTATCTCGATGTGTTTATTGATTGATGATTCACTGGAATCCCAGGCAGGCTTCTAAAAATTCTCTAGCATTCTTGTTGTTTCCTCTGTCTAATATTTGAACGTTGTCCCAGTCGAATTGATGTCCGTGGTTGTCTGTATGTAGTGATATGAGGGAGTAGATATCATGTCTTTTGACAGCTAGCTTATGTTCATGGATACGAAGACGAAGGGGGTGTCCACTTTGGCCAGTGTAATGTTTTTCGCAGGTGTTACAATTTATTTTGTACACGACGTTGGTTTTATCTTTTTTCGCTGTTGAGTCTCTTGATTGACATAGAATTGAGTGAAGTGACTTTGTTGGTTTGTGTACGACGTCAATTCCTACAGGTTTGAAGAGTCTGGTAGTGATTTCTGAGATATCGTTTATATATGGTAAGGAGATTTTCTTTGGGCTTTTCTTGGGGGGCTTTTGGTTTGATAGGTTGGCTTGGGGGTATACTCCCTAAAGATATGATATCACCTCTCTCATATCACTACATACAGACAACCACGGACATCAATTCGACTGGGACAACGTTCAAATATTAGACAGAGGAAACAACAAGAATGCTAGAGAATTTTTAGAAGCCTGCCTGGGATTCCAGTGAATCATCAATCAATAAACACATCGAGATAGACAAAATTTATCAACCGATAAGAAAGAAACCTCACACACAAAGGGTCAAAATTCAAGTCAAAGAAACAATCAGTTCCAACACTAGTAACCTAGAAGGTGTGAAAACACACAAAAACTACTAATCACATCCAATGTCACCAGGAGAGATGATTAATAAACTCGTGGAGAAATCTAAAAGCTCACTTCAACAGATTGAAGTATGCACTGAAGATGTCGCCAAGTAGGGCGATGAAAACTTCACAAATTAACTATCCAGCTCAGAGAACATAACCACATCAAAATAATCAACTAAGTTTGTCATTTGTAAATTACACAACCCATGGTAAAAAATCCATCATGATTTCCATTGGGAGCCTAAAATATTCACTTCACTATATATGTAGTTTCTTTAATACCGAAAACTGTTAATCAAGAAAAAAAATAATTGATACGATTGGTCGGAAACCATTACTGTCAAACATTATGTCGCTTGGTAGCCAGACCAAAGCGATTTAAACTTCAGACAACCAGTTTGCTTATTTGCAGCCAAGCTCATCAGCCGTGTATATAGCTGGACTCATTTTAAACTAAAAGAAACGGTGATGTATATATATATATATATATATATATATATATAAAGATGAAAGCTTCGCAACTAAATCGTCCAGCTTAACTACACCGAAAAAGTATGTTGCTAATGACAGCAAAATTTTCGAGAATTGGTTTTGTAGGGATTTGGTTTGATTGTATGGAGGATTTCATCATGAGCTGACATCAGTTAGAGAACCACTGGAAAACCTGGGTGTATTGGACAGCTTTTTCGTCCTAGTTTATGACTCTTCAGCAATACACACTCACTGGAGTTCGAACCCAATACCCTCTGGTTACAAGGCGAGCTCGTAGACCATTGAGCCACTGGGACCCGATCCAATGGCCCGTGAATTCTAATTTCTGCCAATTCACGACGTAACGCGACCATTTTGCAATGTCTTCTTCAATGAGTTACTGTCTCATCATCGACCTGCTGTACTACCCTACTGGTCACAACTTCCCACTAGAACTCCAGTTTAACTGCCTGAATAGGGCCAGTCGCTAGTGAGCATCTATCGAACCCCGGTGGGTGCGCACTGCTGAATAGTCCCAGACTAGGACGAAACAGCTGTCCAATACTCCCAGATTTTCCAGTGGTTCTCTAACTGATGTCAGCTCATGATGAAATCCTCCATACAATGACAGCAAAAGACAATCACTCTAACTATTATCCTTTACACCTGTCCACAAAACCTAAATTTACAGGTAATGCATTAAAAATGAGAATCCTGATGGTTGATGAAATATATTTTTTTTCATTAGCTGGCCAACCTAATGTTGTAACAAAGAGATGACTGTCCCATGTAAATATAGTTAGCTCCACCACTTCTAGCTGCAATCACTTGATTTATGAATACATTTAACGCAAAAGGAATTGTATTCAAAAGTTACAGTTTATTCTCTCTAACTAGCCTACTATCGCTGAATTAATTGTTTCGTTTTTTCTTATGTTTTTCTTTATCAAACTGATTTGCAATGTAGTAACTTAGATATACAATCGAATGTGGTAAATTTTATGCCGCTAATAATTAAAAATATAACCTACAGTTTCTTACAATATTAACGAATACTGTAATAATAATAATAATAATAATAATAATAATAATAATAATAATAATAATAATAATAATAATAGTTTTTCCTTCACGTTCCCAGTGGAACATAGGGCTCCAAGCTAGTGGCTTGAAGTTTCTGTAGCAGTGTTTATTTTTTACAGGATGGGGTTGCTAGCCAGCATCATGCCCAACCTTTCTTCTTTACCAGCATTATTTCTGGCTCAGTGAGGTGAAGGAGTGCGCCGGCCGGGAGTCGAATCCCGGACCATATGCATGGTCGGCGAGCGTCCTAACTGCTATACCACCGACGCACAACGAATACTGTACATGAGCACTTTTCAAATATCAATTCAGCAAGTTGTAAGGATCAAAAAAACCATTGGCCACTTATTTAGAACTAAAAGAATAACCGTATTATACCCATCGCCAATTTCCTACTTTAAAGTCTTGCTATTTCTTGTGAATTTGTTTTGTTTGAGAATTACCTTTCAGGTGTTCAATCAAATTATCAATATGAAGTCAATGTCCCTAAGGGTGCTGTTCCACTCCTCTTCTTTCATTCTTCTTCTTTCATGATTTCCCTCTTCCGGAAAAGAACGACTTCGTTAAATACGCTGACGACCTGACTGTCTCATTGCTAGTTATTACCCGATCTGGGTGTTCCAAACTGAATAGCCTTTTGTCGGATATAGGGGACTAATGTAAGTTAAGTTGTCTTACGTTAAATCCTTCCAACTGTCAGATTGTTAACTTCAACTTCAAGCATAAACAATACGATCTACACGCACTGATTCGTTCACATAATACTAGTAGCACATAGAGGGCAACGAAATAGAATGTTCTTTCCTCTTCCCTTTCTTGGTCATCACATATCTTGTTGATTTCTAAAAAAAAATGTTTTGTTTAGCCTTTTCTACATTAAGAAGTCAAGAGACAAACAGGTATCGTATCACTCAACATCTAATTTCGCACTTTGTTGATTCCTTCATCTTACCCTATTGTCCTTTATTGCCCACCCCACCCCCCCACTTAATTCTTTCCTGAGCTACTCAAGCAGAACTGTGTCATATTACGAAGGATACTAAAAGGCTATCAGTAGGGCGAGTGGTGTGCACTGAGTCAACTCGTTAACATTGTAGTCTACAGACGTCTGAACTCATTAGAGAAATGAACAAAAGCCATACTGTCTTCCTGTCAGCCCCCTCTTTATTCACAACTCTCCCCCGTTTGCATCTCATCAGAAATTATTATATGCTCGCATAACTAAGTATAAAACTCAATGATACTCTAATTGACTGTCATCCTATGTGGTGGAGAATGTGTTAAGTGTGAAAGTTATAATTTACTATGTAATTAGCAAATTAAATGGCTCTTTGGTCTTGTCCTGTTTTATAATTTATGTTGACAGTATTCCTATTATTTTGTAATTTTAGTCATTTTTGTTATCATTTTTCATACCTGCTGTACATTTTTAACTTTATTGTTACCGTTAACATCAAAAAGGTCACTGTTATCAGTTTTGTCTGCATGCACTATGTGATGTTTTTTGTTGTTGAGCAAGTTAGATGTAATGTTGTACTAAATGCTGAAAATTTTTTATTTTATTTTTTGATTACAGTTTGATTTCACACGGTATTTTTGGAACAAGTATGGAATTTTCAGCATGTGATATCAGTAGCCCAAATTTTGCAGGCCGACCATAGATATCAGGTGTGCGTCGACAGGGGATCGAACCTCAGACCATGTGCATGGTCAGCGAGAGTTCTAACCACTGTGCCACCGATGCTGTTTTGGAATAAAGCAAATCCCTGTTATTATTACTATTAATTACTACATAACTAATCTCAATTAAATCCCCTTTCCCTAAAAAGCTACTTTATTCTTTCACGTTCCCAGTGGGACATAGGGCCTCAAGCTAGAGGCTTGAAGTTTCTGTAGCAGTGGTGATTATTTTTACAGAATGGGGTTGCTAGCCAGCATCATGTCCAACCTTTCCTCTTTATCAAATTTTGTTACTGGCTGGGATAGGTAAAGTGGTGAGTCGGCCAGGGATCGAAACCAGGACCATGCGCATGGTCGGCGAGCATCCTAACCACTGTACCACCAACTCACCCCTAAAAAGCTAGAAAAGTTAAAATAGGACGACAAAGGGTCCCTTTTATGTAAAGGACATAAAAAACTGCAAGTAGAATTCTAACCAATACATATATCCAGGTAGGAAGTATTATTATTTTTGTTTTTATTAATTTTTTCTTGATTATAGCTTGATTTCACAGCGTATTTCGGTACAGGTATTTTATTTTCAGCATATGATATCGGTAGCCCAAATTTTGTAAGCCAACCAATTGACATCAGGTGTGCGTCGGTAAGGGATGGAACTCCGGACTAAGTGAATGGCTGGCGACACTCTTAACCGCTGTGCCCCCGGCGCTAGTTTCGGAAGATTTGATTCGAGATCACATATAAGGTAAATAATAACCTAATTCATACTTTCCTACTGTTAATCTATGCATTATTTAAACTGACATTGTTATAAAATACGAAATTTACAAAAAGGTTTTGATAAGCTGGTAAATTATACAATAATAATAACAATACCTTTGTGTGTACGTAAATGCAGTTTTTCATGGATACTCGTCAATACATCATTTTGATAGCATGATTCCAAAAGAGATTGAGATATTTTACACAGCATAGAAGACTCGGGAATAGGCTTCCTTAAGTAGTCGAAAAAAAACGGATGAAAAAGTAATTAATCACACACAAATACATGTACGCGAGGAAAAAAAGAGGAAGGTGCTAAAATCATTTTTATGTGATTTTTCTTTAAAAAAAAGAAATAAAAGTTTCCAGTTCTCTATAAAAAATGATGCCGCCTAAAATGGATCATAACTACATTCAATGGTAGCATATCATGGTAGGTTAAGTCCACTTGTTCAAACCTTTTAGATCTTTTAAACTGAATTTTAGATTTTCCCATCGATTGATTGGACCGAAGTGCTCGATCTCAGGTTGACATGTCCCTTGGCTTCGTGTGCAGATGCTTCAACGATGTCTGGGCATGTAATTAGAATTTAATTGGTGGATGGTGACTAGCAGTGGAATCCAGGATGAGCATGAAACTATGGACACTGGGTTCGAGCCTCAGTGGGAAGAACATCACTCACTGGGAAATGCAGGTACATCCAGTAGCTGACGAGTCCCAAATAGGACGAAATGCGCATCCTGGATTCCACTGCTAGTCACCATCCACCAATTAAATTACCTTTAGATCTTTATTAATATTGCATTGAACTAAAAATAACACATAAAATTGACATACTGTAATAATCAATAATTAAAGTCTCTTAGGCTAGAAGAAAGCCTTTGTTAGATTAGGAGAAAAGTCAAGGATGAAGAAAAAACGTTCCACAAAACTCGATCCGAATCGTTCACTATCAGCTGAAAACCACTGGTGCCACAAAAATTGCACAACCAACAAGTTTTTTTAAAGAGTTAAAAAAACTGATAAAGCCTATCAATGGAATGCTGGTTGTTTATAGATTGAAAGAGAATTTGCAGAATGCAGAAATGATAAGAAAGTTTGAATGTCGCTCAGAAATTCAGAAATTTTGTGTTAGGCATTGTCCTTACTTGTAAATCTATCACAGAAAGAAGTCATAAATACTTTAGTAACTCAGGTTATTTACATTCCTAATTGTACCATTGTTATGTACTCGTCGCTAAATTATTGTTATGGTCTGGTCGAGAAACTAATAGTCCTGACGCAAGAAGGCGGAAATCAGAAGACCACTAGGTTTGCGATGATACTTCTATTGTCCAAACACAAGGAGACGAAAATAAATGGTCTCACACCAAAGTGGTAAGTAAGTAAAGTAAAGTTTTTGACACAAATTGTGAATGCAAAAATATATATAAATGTTCCAGACAAAGTGTGTGAAAAATCATTAGACAGTCTTAACATGAATGGCTAATTATAATGGAGTGTCGATCCAAATATACATAGCGAATATGGCAGACATGTCAACAAAACATATATGGATATATGTCACCAAGCAACGGACTGTCAACAAACACTCATATTATTTTTTATACAATATAAGGGGAATATACATTGTTAAAGGAGACAAGTTCATACAAGTGAAATGGTCACAGACTAAGAGAGCAAACAGAAAGAGAGACCAACATTATATATATATATATATATATGTGGATACATATCACCTCCCCTTTTGAGAAGAGTGATGATTAATAGCGTGCTTTCTTGGGGTTTATCTGAAACCGTTCAGTTTGTTGTCGACGTCTGTTGCTTCGTCTGCTTGTTGAGTTTGCGGCTTCTGCTTTGTCTGACGTTGTCTGAGCTGCGCACTTCTGCTTTTCTGTTTTGTCAGTCGTAGGTAAGTTAAAAGTATCCAAGAGAATATCCAGAGGTAGGGATGACTGTGTACTGGTAGGGATATTTGAGTTTCTTGGCCGCAACTGATTGTAGTGACGGGTCCATAATTCATTTCCAACTTTCACGTCGTACATAACTCGACCACGTCGTGCTGAGATGGAACCTTTATTCCAAGGTTTATGTCCTCCTCGATAGTCGCGGACATAGATAGGGTCACCAACATCAAATTTCTTTTCATTCCGAAATGATGCGTCGGCATGTTTGAGTGTCGGTGGTAACATTGAGTTATGAATCGTTCTAAGTTTGCGTCCGTAGAGAATTTCTGCCGGCGATTTCTTGTTCTGTGTTGACTCATTCGCCGTTGTACGGTACACCATCAAGAATTTTTGGATGATGTCAAATGGTGTCCCCTCTCCCTCTGCTTTGAGTAAGGCTCTCTTCAAAGTGTCGACAAAACGTTCCGCTTGGCCGTTTGACTGAGGATGATACGGCGGTGTGAACATATGCTCGATAGCATTTTGATGACAGAACTGCTGAAACTGATGAGAGGTAAACTGCGAACCATTGTCTGTAACTATGGTTTCTGGGAGACCATGGTGGGAGAATATGTCAGTGAGAGCTTTGAGAGTCTGGGACGTTGTCGGCGAAACCATTGGTATAACTTCTGGCCACTTAGAAAAAGCGTCTACCACCACTAAATAGTATGCACCATTTGTAGGGCCAGCAAAGTCAATATGAATTCTGGACCAAGGATGGGATGCTGGAGGCCACGGTACGGGAGGTAGCTGGTGGGGTAGCTTTGCTGATTGTTGACATTTTGAACATCGTTGAACAAAGTCGATAATATGCTTATCCATATTAGGCCAGTATGCGTAGCTGCGAGCAATACTCTTCATCCGCTGAATACCAGGATGTCCCATGTGAAACTGTTTCAGGAGTTTATTTCGTAATGCTTCAGGTATCACTACGCGTTCTCCAAACATCAAGCAATCTTTTACAACACATAAGGAATCACGACGGGCAAACAGGTGTTTTAGGTCTCCACTATATTTAATCTTTGGCCAATTACTGGATACATACTGTGTAGCACGTCGTAAGGTGGCATCGGTGCTTGTAGTTCGCTGGATTTCTGCAAACGTTACTGGTAGAGATCGAATAGCATTGTCGATGAGGTTAACTGCATAGTCTTTGGTGGCGATCGATGCAATTACCATATCTTCACTTGATGCAGGATAGTCGCTAATTAGCCGAGATAGAGCGTCGGCTTGACCAAATTCGTTAGTTCGGTTGTATTTAATATCGAAATCGTATCCAAGTAATATTATTGCCCAGCGTTGTAGTCGGTTAGCTGCATGTACCGGGATACCTGATTTAGATCCGAAAATGGAAAGTAACGGTTTATGATCTGTCAGCAAGGTAAATCGGCGGCCGTAGATCATTTTATGAAAACGTCGTACGGCGAAAACTAAAGCTAAGGCTTCTTTTTCAATTTGTGCATATTTCTTTTCTGCCGCAGTTAGTGTTCGAGATGCATGCATTATTGCTTTTTGTGAACCATCTGGGAAGACATGTAAAATGACAGCTCCCACTCCGCTTGCTGAAGCGTCCGCTGCAACTATAATTGGAAGTGTTGGACTATAATGTGTCAGAAGCAATTCAGAAGTTAACATAGACTTCAACTTTTCAAAAGCTGATCTGCAAGCTTCGGACCATTTCCAGGTTGCATTCTTTTCGAGTAGTCGATTGAGGGGGTGTCGAACATTATGCAGCGCAGGGAGAAATGCAGAGTAATAGCTAATTAATCCCAAGAAAGAGCGTAAGGAAGGCACATCAGTAGGTGCGGGCATCTCTTTTATAGCACGTATGTTGTCAGGATCTGGACGTCTACCCGATGCATCAAATATAAATCCAAGGTATTTGACAGATCTCAAGGAGAACTGACACTTCTCTGAGCGTAGTCGTAGACCGTTGTCCTGCATGCGTGACAAGACAGCTTCTGTCCTGCTGTAAAGTTCGTTTATAGAATTCGCTACCACCAAGATATCATCAAGATAGACGGCAACACCCGGAATACCTGCCAAGATAGTATCCATCAGTTGTTGGAAAATAGCTGGGGCAGTTTTAACTCCGAAAGGTAATCTGTTGTATTGGAACAAACCGCGATGTGTATTAATGGTAAGGAGTTCTCGGCATTCTGGGGCTACTTCCACTTGTAGATATGCGTCAGCAAGATCCAGTTTTGCAAAATAAGATCCACCATTTAAAACAGTGAATAAATCATCCGGTGTAGGTAAAGGATAGTGGTGCTGTTCTAATGCAGCATTCAACCCAGTAGAGAAATCAGCACAAATACGTAGGGACCCATTCGCTTTCTTGACAACGACGATGGGTGCTGCCCATGCCGAGTACGTGACTGGTGTTAATACGCCTTGTTGTTGCAGTCTCTCCAATTCTTCGTCAACTTTTGGTACAGATGCATATGGAACTGGCCTCTTTGGGCGAAAAACCGGTTTTGCGTCTGGTAATACTCGAAAGGTAGCTTGCAGCGAGGTACAGTGACCTAATCCGGGCTGAAAAACAGGTGCGAATAGTTTGCATAAATCAGAAAAGGAGTTGGCTGAATTTTCATCCTTGTTAACTGCGTTGCATACAGAACTAAGTGGGACATCAGCCAGATGTAAACGATCGAACCAATCAAGTCCCAAAAGATTTAAATCACTCTTGGTGACGTAACAAATTCCTGTGAATTTGATATCGCGGAAGGAAACAGAACATTCGAGTTCACCAATTAGTTTGAGGCGCCCACCACAGGCGCTGACAGCAGTCTGAGAAGTATTTACGATTGGTGGTCTGCCAATATTATTCCAAAGTTTCTCTGATATAACAGTAATATCAGAGGCGGTATCTAGCTGCAGACGTGCATCATGACCATTCATCTGAAGGTCAAGATATTTCCGCATACATGGTGTTGTGACTTGACAGGTTGCGAGTAGACTCAATGATCTCCTTGGAGATTTAGGACCAACCGTTTGTCGAGCTTTTGCTGGATTTTGATATCTGGGTTTGCGTGGCTGACAAAAACCATTTTTATGACCGACGATGTTGCACTTGCTGCAACGATGATTTTTGTACGGACAAGACTTTACAAAGTGCCACGCGCCACAATGCCAGCATGGTGATGGTGGGGTCTTCTTTGCAGTATTTTGTGAAGTTGGACGAGTATGTGTAGATTTCCGCGGGACATTAGAAGAAGTAGGTGGGTCAGGAGTAGATGATGAGAGATTTTTGCTCTTTCGTAATGCACGAATATCAGAGCTTCTC